TGGGTTCTTGCAGGTGGATGCAGCAGTTACAGCAGAAATGGTCTCGAAGTCTCCACCCTCCACAGGGGTTGGGTAGTTGGTGTTCACATATGGAGCCCAAACAATACAGTCTGGAAATACAGCCAAAACATTTCAATGCTGCTCAGGCAAACTTACAAGGGATATAGATTGTTTCCATGTAAGTTGATACAGCGATTGATACAGGACAACAAGGTCCAGTAAGTATGGCCCGCCTCAGCAGTAGCTGATATGCGGTGGAGCGGTAGGTAGGTAGGTAGTAAGTATTCATTTTTGCAAATTTTGGATACTTAGAATGTTTTCTTAGCAAATCAATCAATCAAACAGACAAACTGAAATGCACAAAGTACAATGTATAGTGATAGATTGTACAGGTATACTTCTTTAAAAGAAAATATGGCTAGTAGGTAGTGCATACCCTCATATGGCAGTGTGCTGACCACGGTAGCAGTAGACTGTGGTGTGCCAAGAGTAGTGGTGTCAGTGATGATAGCTGTCTGGGTAACACCAGCAGTTGTGGTGGCAGTGGTCACTGGCTTGTCAGTGATGATGCCAGCAGTTGTGGTGGCTGTGCCAAGGGTGGTGGTGTCAGTGATGATAGCTGTTTGGGTAACACCAGCAGTTGTGGTGGCAGTGGTCACTGGCTTGTCAGTGATGATGGAGGTCTGGGTGGTACCAGCAGTTGGGGCAGTAGCGATGGTGGTGGTCACTGGCTTGTCGGTGACAATGGAGGTCTGGGTGGTACCAGCAGTTGGGGCAGTAGCGATGGTGGTGGTCACTGGCTTGTCTGTGACAATGGAGGTCTGGGTGGTACCAGCAGTTGGGGCAGTAGCGATGGTGGTGGTCACTGGCTTGTCTGTGACAATGGAGGTCTGGGTGGTACCAGCAGTTGGGGCAGTAGCGATGGTGGTGGTCACTGGCTTGTCGGTGAACACTGATGTCTGGGTAGTGCCAGCTGTTGTGGTGGTGCTGGCAATGGTGGTGGTTGTTGGTTCTGAAAAAGAAGAAACTTTAAGAAAACATAGTTCGACATTTCATAATGCTAGAAGCAGGCATCAAAAACATTTAAATTGAGAAGTTTTGTGATTATTTTGTTCAAGAAACTTTATGGCCAAAAGAAATCTAAGCCACATTTCTTCTGAACATACATCAATAATTCTCAAATTTCAAAGGTGTTATGACAAAGGTTTTAAGATGGCATTTTGTCTATTTGCTTTTCTTATCAAGTCCCTTGCAAAGCAATACAGTTTTATGGCGAACAAATGTAATGTTTCTGATCACTTCAAACATGGGATTTCAGCAAGCCAAGATTTGAAACCATGAACACACCAGCACATCCCAGGATCTCGACCCTCATGGACGGCCACTCGTGCCAGGTGATGGGCTGGATACGGATGTACTCAGCGTAGATCGGGTTGTTCAGGTCAAACAGCTGACGGTTGGGTGTGTTCTCATCGGAGTTGGCTGGGAAGACCTGGAAAGGAAACGGAGGTTTAACATCATTAGCTACTATGGCTTCATCACATGAAGATGTTGGGACTTAATGACATCAAGGTACATCATGTCAACCTGGTTTTCTAATTTCTGATGAAGTGGTCATTAATGTATAACACAAAAATTCCCATTATTTTTTGCAAGTAAAATTCTCATTGTTTTTTGCATGTAAAAGAAAATTATTATTGTTCCAGACAATCAAGAAAGGGACCTGTCTTAACTTTACACAATTGTGCAAAGAGCCACATAAGTGTTCAGAAGAATGACAGTTGTCACACCTGTGGTGTTCCAGCAGGGCTGTTGTAGTACTGCCAGGTCTGGCCGTTGACACTGTACATGATCTTGTAGGAGGTGACCCACTGGTCAGCAGTCACGCTGTCCCTACCCTGGGTGATCAGACCGGTGATCTGGGTAGGCTGTGGGAACAAACACAACAATGTTACTGCCATCTGTCGATAAGGCTTTGAAATGTTACAAAAAAGGTAGACAATACATTGTATACTTTTGTAGGGTTGATGACCCACCCTGAGTGGACTAGGTCGTTTATGAGCGAGGTGGTTATAGGAAAATGGGTCATTAATGTTATTATCATATAGTATGTAACTATTTTAAGTTTTGTAAGTCAAACATATCATGTGCCTGTCCTTTTGATTGTTTTACATTGTTTTATAAATTAGGTTCACCTGCAGCCATTGGAATGCATGTTCCATTTAGGTCATTGAAACAGAACGTGTGTTCCATTTTGGGGAACCCGTGGTACGAGCAAAATTGTTTTCAGCACCATTTTCTTCAATAAACCAATCAATCCTTCATAATTTCATGGCAGTAGGATGTATACTGACCTGGCCCAAGTTGATCTCGATCCACTGACTCTGGTCGTTGACGGCAGGCACCCAGCCACCGGCACTGGTCGGGGACTCGGGGGTGTTGAGACGGCCGCTGTCGGCGCCGGATGTCGGGAGCAGCTGGCTGGACACGCTGATCATGTTGGTAGAGATCAGGCCTGCGGAAATAAGAAAACACGAAAACAGTTGTCAGCATATTCATACTGGAAAGTGTCATCAGAGACTTGTGGAGCCTTTATAATCACATGTACAATGTATTATATGCTTTTGTAAATTATCAATGTTACCTGTTACCTCATTATCACTTTAACTGTTACCTAAGTGGTCATTGGTATAGCATGAAAGCCTTCACTTGATGTATCAGGCCTGCAGTCAAACCTGTGCAAGTGACCATCTCTACATAAAAGACCACCTGGCCAATGTGACCACTTTTAGGAGTCCCATGTCCCATTGACACAAGTATTAAGAATCCTGTCTTAGAGACCATCTATCCACCAGATTTTATCGTCCTCTGTGCGGTCTTGTGCGAAGTTTTTACTATAAACTTAAACAATAAAGATGTAT